AAACAAGTTGCTTAACTTGAGAAATGGAAGAGGGAGAGACCGAGAAATGAGATTGGTGTTGTTAAAGAAACGGGGAAGCAAGCCGTGGGTGAAAGTTGAAAGAAAAGTTGAAAGGAGTAAAAATCATTTTTGAAAATGAGCTTAAGGAAAAATATTATTGAAGCTATGGAGAAACTTGGGTATCCCGAGGAATGTAATGCCAATGTAACTGAGGATAGGGTGACAGAGTTATCTATAGTGACTATTAATGAGGTAAATTTAAATGAGCATATGGTTGAGATTAAGGATGCCGGGAATTTTTTTTTAATGTAGCCGATCGTCAAGAGTTAGTTGGGAATTTTGCTAGCCAGGGTGTAGAAAAATCTCGTGGCTGATGTGATTGTGTGCAGGCTGTAGGTTGCATCGTACAGTGGTGGATGCTGAGGAAATACTACATGGAGATGTTGACGATGTGAACGGGTCTAAATTGAACAACAGGGAAACGTTGTTAGTGTACAAGAGAGATCTGATGATTTTTTACAGCAAGGGGATGTTGATTTTTTTGTTCAAGGGGGAGACGTTTATAATATTAAGAATTAAAGTGTCATCACATTTATAGATACCAACTCAAAAATATGTGGTTTTTAGTTCTTTATAGTCCCTTATTAATATTGTGAGATAATATTAAAATGAATTCATTGTCCATAAACAAGTAAATGGCATCATAGGGCGATTGCCTATTTTTATCAAAACTCTAAGTTTCTTTGATTTAATAAACGCGCTTGCCAAATTGATAATGTTTTTATTTTACCTTTTATGAATGTAAAATTTATAAGTATATAATTGATTGCTTCTTAAATCATGAACAAAAGAAAAAAGAAATATAGCTTTGTATTTTTAACATTTAATAAGTTTTTAGATTTTTTTTTATTCCCAAAAATATACTTTTATTTAATTTAAAATGTTATTAAGACATAACCTTTTAAAAAAAAATAATAAGACAACACCATTTAAGGCAATCAATGCACCAGAAAATCCATAGCCAAATAGCATACACTAACGACATTATCACTCAACCAAAAAAAAAAACTTTTCAAGTGCAGAAAAATCTGTATTTGTGTACATAGGGGGCTAAAATCCCGTAATGATTTTAAACGTTTGTGTAGTACACTCAATAACTTAGAATAAAGTAATGAATTTGATAAGTAATTCACTCCCTTAGGTATTGGGGGTAGGAAATAGGGTGTGTACATTTTTAGTGGATAAAATCCAATGATATTGCCGTTCTGAAAAATATATGTTACATTCTTTTTTTTACAAATAAACATATGTTTAACAATTATTGAATTAATTTAATTAATTAAAAAACTTAAAATTTTAATTCAATGGCACGAAAAAAGGTAAACCTATACTATAGATCTAGCTGGACTATTCAAACAAGTAATCAACCAACTGGGTATATATACTATGCCTGTCGAGGGCGTATCATCCTGAGACGCAAGGAGCACTTGAGCGAGTGCATCAGACATTAAAGATTATGATTAGAACGAACTGCATAGAGCAAGAGAAACACTGGGATAAAAGAAAAACAAGCTACTTTTCCCCGCAAGAGAAGCTGTTCAAGGATCACTTGAATTCAGCCCCTTCGAACTGGTGTTTCGCCATACGGTTCGCGGCCCGCTTAACTTTTAAAAGACACATGTATGTTATCAACACCCACTAAAAGACTATTCAACTATGTTTTAAAGTTTAAAACTAAACTCTTTAATGCCGTTAATTTGGGTCAATCTAATTTAAAAGATTCTCAATCCAAAAGGAAAGTTTGGTATGACAAAAAGTCCTAATTCAGACAGTATGCTTCAAGGGACAAAGTGTTTGTGCTTTTGCCGATACCAGGGCAGGTGCTAAAAGATAAATATGTTGGTCCTTATGTAATCGAGTCCAAACTTAATGATTTAAATTAAATTTTTTTAACACCAGCTCGAACAAGAAAGAAACAGTTATGTCAAGTAATATGTAAAAAGTATATATAGAAAGAAAATATGATGATCATTGTCTATCTTCAGAACCTAATGTTAACACAATCTCAACTGTAGCCTCATTACTTAAAGAAAATGTTACTGAAACCTTTGATAGTGTCCCAGAAAAAGTTTGTGATTACAAATGTAAGAATTCAGAAGTACTGGCAAACTTGGATAAGAAACTTGTACAAATGACATTGTCAGAGGAGGATGTTGTAAAGTCTTTTATTGCAGATTTTGTTTCTCTTTTCCCTGACGTGCCTTATAAAACCAAAATTGCATTACTTGATGTTGACATTGGCAATGCAGTTCCGGTCAAGTAAGAGCCTTATAGGATCAATCCGGAAGAATTTGGAATAATCGGGTCATAAATAAAAGTATTACTTGAAATTGATATCACTGAATAAAGCTCTAGTAACTAGAGTTCACCATATATTTTAATCCCTAAGCCTGAAAAACGTTATTGGTTTTGCAAGGAATTCACAAAGTGAATTAAGTTACAACGTATGATTCCTGTTCGATTCCAATGATAGACGATCTTATAGATCGAATAGGCGATGCCAAATATGTGACCAAGATGGACTTTATATTATGTTTGTAAATGGTTCCTCTAACCGACAGAGCAAAATCTCTGCTTTCTGTTCTCCAGATAGTTTATACCAATATGAAGTAATGCCGTTTTGGAATGAAAAATGCTCCAGCTACATTCCAACGTCTAGTAAATAGCATTATTGCTGACCAGGAAAATTGAAGTGCCTATATTGATGATGTAACTATTTACAGTCAAGACTTTTCAAATCATGTAAACCAGTTGAAATTTCTTTATAAAAAGCTTTGCAGGCACATATAACTATAAATTTTAAAAAGTAATGCAACTGTGGAATATTTAGGTCACATAGTGGGTCAAGGTCATGTAAAGCCTGTTCAAGCTAAGATAAATGCCATTATATCACTTCCACTACCGACCACTAGAAAACAGTTAATGATATTTTTTGGGAATGGCAGGTTACTATATAAAATTGTGAAAAAAGTTATCAGGTATATCTTTCCGGTAAGTAAAATGTTAAAGGAAATTGAAAATTGTCCTTGTCAAATGCTTGTCAGAAAGCATTCAAAGACTTTAAAAAATGTACTAGCTAGTGATCCAGTTCTCATTGCACCAGACTTTCACAAACAGTTTAAATTAGCTTTAGATGCCAGTGACGTTAGAACTGGTGCCTTTCTTTTTCAAGAAAATGAGAACTGTGTAGTTCAGTGGTCTCCAAACTTTTGAGCCCGGGGGCCGCATTAACTATCAAACAGCAGTTCGGGGCCCGATTATACAATCCAGGTCCAAATAAAAAAGAATCAAAACATGGATGTTGTTTTTAATTTTTTTATGTAATATTATTTCATTTAATTATTATTTAATAACACATTGATACACGACACATGAACACCTGCATTAGTTGGAATTGTAAATTGTTTCTTGGATGCCAAAATAGCAGTGAATAGTAATTTCTGGATTTAAATTTGATGTCCCGTAATTTGAAGTAGAGACAAACCGAAAGTGATTTCTTATTTCGCCCGAAACCGAAAAAATACCGAAAGTTTAAATATGACTTTCGGCCAAAACCGAAAGAATACCGAAAGTTAAAAATGACTTTCGGCCGAAACCGAAGCCGAAACCAAAAAATGAAATATTTAGATATTTTGAAATTCGTTCCCGCATACATTCTGCATACATCGAAAATGATGGGAGAAAGTATAAACATTTACATTCTTTTGATAAAAAAATGAGATAATCGTGAATATTAATAAATAAACATCTAATATAACATCTTGTTGTCAAAGATCGATTAGTTTGTTCATAAAGATCGCTTAGTTTGTTTTTAAAAAACGTTTATTTTGTTTTTACGATCGATTAGTTTTTGTTTAAAGATATTTTAGTTTGTTCAAAAAAGATCGCTAAGTTTATGTTATTAAAAGATCGTTTAGTTTATTTATAAAGATGGCTAAGTTTGTTCTAAAAGATCATTGATTTTGTTCTTAAATATCGCTTGGTTGTTCTTAAAGATCATTCAGTTTGTTCTTAAAGATCATTTAGTTTGTTTGTATAGATCTTTTAGTTTGTAATTAAAAATCGTTTAGTTTGTTCTTAAAAATCGCTTATTTTGTTGTTGAAGATCGCTTAGTTTTTTTCATAAAGATTGCTTAGTTTGTTCTGATAGATAATTGATTTTGTTCCTTAAGATCAATTGGTTTGTTCTTAAAGATCTTTTAGTTTGTTCCTAAAGAACATTTAGTTTTCTGTTAAAGATCGCTTAGTTTATTTAAATGATTTATAAGAATAAACTAAAAAGTAAAAATGAGTCTGATGGTGCCCATTTTCATTATATTTACGTAACGTTTTTCATCGGTGTTTCATGAGAAACGGTCAATTTCTAAATGCAGTATATAATGTATACGGCTAATTATTACACTGCATGGTATTTAACTACTTCAAATCTAAAAGGATAACTATTAAATTTTAATGAGAAAAAATCTTTTGATGCCCCGGTACATTAGTTATCGATGATTCACATTATTTCAAGACAGTTGGTCGCAAATGTGTTGCAATAATCAAAATAAATTATTGTATATTTGTAATTACGCTCAAGAATATTGTAGACATTTATTTTATATTTATTTTTGAGAGTGTTTTTGTCTTAGTCGAATAAAATTTTGTGTTAAAAATATTTAAATGAATGTCAAGTCACAAAGTACATTTCCCTTTTGACATTGAAGCAAAATTACTCTCACACTAAAGGTAAAGGTTGCAGCAACAACAGGACAATTGAATGTTCATCGCGTGGTGACCGCTGCGCGTGCACTGTTGGGGTCAAGAAAGCAACGTGTCTCCAATGCATTAGTCTCAGAGGCCGAGTAAACAACGAATGGCAAGAGTTTCAAAATACGGTATTATGTAATGGTAGCGAATGTGCTTTGGCACTATTCGATACAGACTGCTCGACTGCGAAGATGAATGAAGACAGTGTTGACAAGAGCGTCTCGCCTGTGTCATGGACCACCCAAGTATCAACAAGTGAGGTAAATGTCCATGTGATTTATCTAAACTATGACCTATGAATATTCCTTTAAAAAAGTGGTTGATAATAACAATCTTTATTATTTGATTCATGGTGTCACCATACGAAATAAACAAAGATCTTACATTTGATCTCTGATAATCACAGTTTTATAAGACGTATGCGAAAGACACTGTGGAATTTGGGAATATAACTTATATTTAAAATTGTATCGCATTCATTTATCAGGACACTCTGGACACTTCGACCTGCTGGGAGACCTCGTACCCAGGATTAAACTCCCATAAAGATGGCGACATGCCAAACAGTGGTGAGACACTATGTCGGTAGTGTATAAAAAATTAATGACTAGATCCAATTTGCTTTTAAAATGCAAATATTTAACTTCATAAAATAATGTAAGAACACAATTATTTATATATTAAAACCATAACTCCCATTGCTGATTAGCTTCCATTCAGCTACAGTAAAGAACATTGATAATGCTACATTGCATGTTAATAATTCTTTTCTTAATGTTACATAATTGGTCAGTGATATCGATTCACATTTTATTTATATTTACTATTCACATTGAAATCTTTCAAGTTTGGGGAGGGGGGTTAATCTGTATTACATTTTTTTTTAGAGTTAGGGGTTGGTTTATGCATTAAATTTTCCATGATGTGTTGTGGTACATCTTAAATAAATTAAATACATTTCCAAACTTATGAAACCCCAAGTTGATTCAGGATATTGTTTATTGGTACATAGGGGATGATAACAACTTAAGGAAAAATTAAAGACATTAATTCAACATGTGCTCACTAGTTACTTGAATTTAGTTGTCATTTTATTATTCATTAGCATTGTACATTTGTAATATGCTGTCGGACTTACCACCAAAATAAGAAGGAAAAAATAAGTCAATTCAGTTTGCAATATTCTACTCTAAGTATAGAGGTACCGACCGATGCATAGATCTGGTACATTGTGGTGCCAGTAGGTGGCTCTAGCAACTAGTTTTACTGGTGCATGGCCACATTGACTGTTGGTACTGGTAAATAGCTATATTGACTCTTGGTACAGGTGAATGAATATATTGACTGTTGGTACTGGTGCATGGATATAGTGACTTGTAATACTGGTGCATAGCTATATTGACTGTTGTTACTGGTGCATGGCTATATTGACTGTTGGTCATGGTGTATGGATGTAGTGGCTGTTGTTACTGGTGCATGGCTATAGTGACTATTGGTACTGGTGCATGGCTATATTGACTGTTGTTGCTGGTGCATGGCTATATTGACTGTTGTTACTGGTGCATGGATTTATTGACTGTTGTTACTTGTGCATGGCGATAGTGACTGTTGTTACTGGTGCATGGCTATAGTGACTGATGGTACTAATGCATGGCTATAGAAACTGATGGTACTGGTGCATAGCTATAGTGACTGATGGTACTAATGCATGGGTATAGTGACTGATGGTATTGTTGCATGGCTATAGTAACTGATGGTACTTATGTATAGCTATTGTGAGTATTGGTACTGATGCATTGCTTTAGTGACTGTTGGTACTGATGCATGGCTATAGTGACTGATGGTACTGGTGCAAAGCTATAGTGATTGATGGTACTGATGCATAGCTTTAGTGACTGTTGGTACTGATGCAAAGCTATAGTGACTGTTGGTACTGATGCATAGCTTTAGTGACTGTTGGTACTGATGCAAAGCTATAGTGACTGTTGGTACTGATGCATAGCTTTAGTGACTGTTGGTACTGATGCATAGCTATAGTGACTGATGGTACTGGTGCATAGCTGTAGTGACTGATGGTACTGGTGCCTGGCTATAGTGACTGATGTTACTGGTGCATGGCTATAGTGATTTTTAGTACTGGTGCATAGCTATAGTGACTGATGGTACTGATACATAGCTATAGTGATTGATAATACTGGTGCACAGCTATAGTGATTGATGGTACTGATGCAAAGCTTTAGTGACTGATGGTACTGATGCAAAGCTATAGTGACTGATGGTACTGATGCAAAGCTTTAGTGACTGATGGTACTGATGCAAAGCTATAGTGACTGATGGTACTGATGCAAAGCTTTAGTGACTGATGGTACTGATGCAAAGCTATAGTGACTGATGGTACTGATGCAAAGCTTTAGTGACTGATGGTACTGATGCAAAGCTATAGTGACTGATGGTACTGATGCAAAGCTTTAGTGACTGATGGTACTGATGCAAAGCTATAGTGACTGATGGTACTGATGCAAAGCTTTAGTGACTGATGGTACTGATGCAAAGCTATAGTGACTGATGGTACTGATGCAAAGCTTTAGTGACTGATGGTACTGATGCAAAGCTTTAGTGACTGATGGTACTGGTGCTTTGCTATAGTGACTGATGGTACTGATGCAAAGCTTTAGTGACTGATGGTACTGATGCAAAGCTTTAGTGACTGATGGTACTGGTGCTTTGCTATAGTGACTGATGGTACTGATGCATGGCTATAAAGACTGTGAGTACTAATGCATAGCCATAGTGACTGATGGTACTGATGCATGGTTATAGTGACTAATGGTACTGATGCATTGCTATAGTGACTGATGGTACTGATGCATAGCTATAGTGACTGATGGTACTGATTCATGGCTATAAGGACTCTTGGTACTGGAGCATAGCTATAGTGACTGATGGTACTGATGCAGTGCTATAGTTTTCGTGTGGTACAGTTGAAAGGCTCTAGTGAATTTTATGCTTTTGTTTATTTCTCTAGTTTGTAACTGTACCGGTACATGGCAAGAGTCACTGTGGCTCTAGTACATACTGTTTTTTCATGCATTACACAGACGTAAATAAATAATTAAATACTTTACGATAATTTATTCTGAATGTTGAAACATGCATATGTGGTACAATGCTTGAATCTATTGTTTTTTTTAAAGAAATGAAGAAATGCAATAAAAATTGGAAAACAAGCTGATCTAGACTTATGGAAACTTGACACCACATTTCAGGAATGTCATGTTCTAATTCCAATGTTAAGCTTTCTCTTCCCTTCCTCCTTGTTAAGACCAATCTCACTGGAATTACATTTTCTCACGTCTGTTCAATTTAACCTGAGTTAACTCTAGGACCTAAGTGTGTTCCGTAACATTTCTCTTTGCGTCCTCTCAGATATTGCATTTCTCTTTGTTGTTTTTTTAATATTTAATTCTATTTTTACTGTTGATTGTTCACTAATGAACGCTTCTTGTCGTCTCGTTCGTTTTTGCTTTTTCTTTTTCAGTGTTTTCTATACTTTACTTCGATATTTTTCAAAAAAAGATTATTTTTACTTATTTTTAAAGTATATAACCTGTGATTACAACGACCAGGTGTAAAAAAAAAGTTTTTTTAAATCCTCTATCGTCATTTTGACAATCTTAAGTCTAGCAGATTTGATAAGCAAGCATGTGACAAACATTTTTAAAAATGCATCTTATTTCTAGTCTGAGCTTTGTAGCCCATGTATTTACCCTAAAACAGCTTAACCAAAATAAATTTATTTGAATCCCCAATCATTTTGTGACCCAGTTGTTCATGTTATTGCTTTTGCTTTCGAACATCCTGTCTATTCTTATGTCCCTAAACCATTTTTTCCTAAGAGAAGAAGGAGTGCATTTTAGTTTTCTTTTAGAAACAAACAGTTCTAATTAATATTATTTTGTTCTTCAGACACATGCCCGAAGTTTACAAATAATTGTTTCGAATTCGACGAGACAACATTTGGCCAGGTCGCCATCAGCAGCTGTCCCACCGGTTATTATGGTAAGTTGAAGTCAGTATCGTTGTGCCGCTAGCATCTGTCCCACATGTTATTATGTTAAGTTGAATTTAGTATCTTGTGCCACCAGCGGCTGTCCTACACATTATTAATTAAGTTGACGGCAGTATCTTTGTCACCGTCAGCTGTCCCAGAGGTTAGCATGGTAAGTGGAGGGAAGTATCTTATGCCACCAGCAGCTGTCTCAAAGGTTACTATGGTAAGTTGACGTCCCTATCTTATGTCACAAGCAGCTGTCTTCCAAGTTATTGTTGTAAGTTAACGCAGTATCTTGTGCCACCACCAGCTGTACAAAGTATTATTATGGTACGTTGACGGCTGTATCTTGTGCTCCAGCAGCTGCCCTCACAGCTGCTTAAATAGTCCAGCCTTGAAGTTGATTCCTTGATCAGATTGTACCGACTTTGGAAGACAAAACAATTTAAAAAACTTCGTCAGGGCTTTGACGATGTTTAGAGTTTTTATATTGCGAAGAGGAATGGCTTCTGGGAATCTTGTTTACGCACACATGAGTGTCAGCATATATTGATGACCTGATTTTGTTTTTGTCAGAGGTCAAACGCAGTCCATTATCACGCGACTGAAAGGTTCTTCGAACGCTGGAATGGGTTTAAGAGGAGCTTCTAGTATCTTCTGATTTGGTTTCCCGACCACATGAAAAGTATGACATGATCTGCAGTAGTCAACCACGTCATTCTTGGTTTTGGGCCAAAAAGGGTGCGACGTGATTTTGTGATATGTCTTGTTTACTCCCAAATGGCCTGAAAGTGGTGAATCATGTGCTAAGTTTAGGATTTTGTTCCGGAAGGGTGTAGGAACTACTATTTGATGAACTATCCTTCATTCTTCGTTTTGGTGGTAGACCTACCAACCATGTTTAAATTGAAGCCGGTTGTAAACAAGATACATCAAAGAGATTTAACCACGACTACAACAAAAGTTACCGTCTGCTAGTAGTCTAATGGGGGGGGGGGGGTCAAAGAAATGAGATATACTTTTTCTATAGCCATAGTTTTGCCATTAGTTTGAGATATGATTTTTTGTATAGCCATAGTTTCGCCCTTTCTTTGATGTATACGTTTTTTGAATAGCCATAGTGTTTCCTTTAGTTTTCGATATAATTTTTTTCTATATAGCCATAATTTTGCCATTAGTTGAGATATATGTTTTTCTATTGCCATAGTTTTGCCATTAGTTTGAGATATGATTTTTGTATATAGCCATAGTTTCACCATTAGCGTTGTTTTGATGTCTTGCTCCATTATTTGTTATCTATCTTGGTGCATTCATTGTTTAGATGCCTTGATGCATTCATGGTGTCTACGTCTTTGTGAACTCATTGTTTAAATGTCTTGGTGCATTCATTGTTTAAATGCCTTGATGCATTCATGGTGTCTACGTCTTTGTGAACTCATTGTTTAAATGTCTTGGTGCATTCATTGTTTAGATGCCTTAATGCATTCATGGTGTCTACGTCTTTGTGAACTCATTGTTTAAATGTCTTGGTGCATTCATTGTTTAGATGCCTTGATGCATTCATGGTGTCTACGTCTTTGTGAACTCATTGTTTAAATGTCTTGGTGCATTCATTGTTTAGATGCTTTGATGCATTCATGGTGTCTACGTCTTTGTGAACTCATTGTTTAAATGTCTTGGTGCATTCATTGTTTAGATGCCTTGATGCATTCATGGTGTCTACGTCTTTGTGAACTCATTGTTTAAATGTCTTGGTGCATTCATTGTTTAGATGCTTTGATGATTTTATTGTGGGGATGTCTTTGTGTAAGATTTAGTGTTTAGATTTTTTAACATTATATAGTATATTTTAATTAACATTGATTATTATCTTAAACAAAGGGAATGTATCCATACTGTGCAGCAAAGACAAACAGTGGGAAGCTTTGGACTCGAAGAACTGTTCTCTAAAAGAACTATCTGAGATACTTGAAAGCGTAAGTCGACTACTTGTAACATCATCCAATCTACTTTAACGTGTAACTCAACCTAAGTAATGCCTTGACGAAACTAAAAACTTTTTCCTGATTTCTGTAAAATTTCTAATACAACGATCATAATATTTAACTCAATATATAATTATACATGAAAAAAAAAAATTTTAAAATTCTAACCTTTGAGATTCAAATCTATGATTACATAAAACGATTTAATTTTCCAACAATAATCAATGCAAACTATTAACAAACTACGCAGACACAAGTCTTAAGTTCATTATAACAAAAACAATAATTATACGTTGGCCTAAAATAGATTGCATCTGCCTTGTTGTATATAGGGTATATGGGCTATACAGTGTAGATAATGTATATAGTGCCTAAATTAGAGTTTCACTGATAAAGTGGAACGTTACCTTAATCGATTAATATATCCATTTAATGGTATCCACTTTTTGGCGTCAAATCAATCGTCTAATAACTATATGATACGATCCTCAGTGGCGTAATCACGTCACTGGTCCATTCAAAATATATCTTCCAATGAAAGTCCTTGTCAAGTGGCCCGTTTCAAATATCTGTGCAACAGGGTAGTGCCCGCTTGTTTCAATTCAATTAAAATGAACACAATTAGATTTAAACCAATAACAATGAAGCCAATTAGAAGAAAATTATTTAGAATTAAAGCAAATTAGAATGAAGCCAAATAGAATAAAACAAATGATACTGTAGCCAATTGCAATAAAACCAATTGAATTTAAGCCCATCAGAATTTTTAAAAAATAGAATAACATCATTTAGAATTAAATCAATAAAAAAGAAGCCAATTACAATATATTCTTAGAAGGAAGTGAATTAGAATGAAGCTTGTTATGTTTTCAGTGCTTTTTATTTCAAGCAAGTAACATAAACATAAATAAATAGAAACTCTCAATCAGGTGACTTTCTGCTTGCGTCCGGAACACACTCTTCAATAACACACACTCACTGACTACAGTGTCTCTGCGCTTGGCTGGCTAACTGGACGGTCCAATCCGCTAGTCCACCATAACACCTCCCCGATCAATTACACGTCCATGTAACAATGCTGCTCGACGTTGTCTTTGAGTTCTCCTGGGTATGACATAGTCTGAAGGTCTTGGATGTCGAGGGTTAAGCTTCTTATAAGGTGGGCTTGGAGTTGCTGGATGTGTAGACGGTTGATGACTCAGGGCTGCTTGAGCTGTTGGATAAAGACTTCCTGTCATTATAATAATAATAATAAAGTTTATTTCAAAAACACGCTTCATTCCCAAAGGCTCGATGCGCGGTACAAAGTAATATAATTTACCACATTTAAAACAAACGCAACACTACAAACCTAATTACAAGCATACCAAGTCAAAGTCTTTCTACCCATTTCAACCCTAAGCAACACAGCCAATATGCATTAAATGCCAGATATGGTAGACAATCATCCCAGAAGGTGTTTGCGAAATCTGTTTTAAAGGACTCCAATGTCTGTTGTTTCTGAGATCGACTGGAAGGCCGTTCCAAATTGATGAACCAGCAAATGCGAAAGTGCACTTTCCGTAAGTCTCAAGGCAAACACGTGGTGTCGATAGTTTGCCACTATCGGATAAGCGGAGTTGTCTAATGGGTACATAAGGTGTCAGCAGCTCTTTCAGATAGGACGGTGCCAGGCCAAGTAAGCAGCGGTAGCACAACGTTGCGATTTTATACTCTATGCGAGCACGGACCGGCAGCCAATGCAACTCTCTCAGAAGTGTTTTTGCATGGTCAAACTTGCGTTTGCGGAGAACAAACAATTCGAGCCACATTATTCTGTGCTATTTGAATTTTATCCAGGAGCGTAGCTGGAAGACCCACCATGAGAGCATTGCAATAGTCCATGCGTGATAACACAAATGCAGACATCAACCTCTTTGTTGCATCAATTGTTAGGAAGGGCCTGATGTGACTAATCCTGCGCAACTCTAGAAAAATCACCTTGCATAGCATGTTAATGAGACTTTCCAAGGTTAGTCTTCTATCTAGGTAGACACCAAGGTACCGCACTGTTTGAGCTATTTCAATACACACACCTGAGAGAGTAATTGATGTCGTGTTATTTTCAGATTTTTGCTTCTGAGCGGTCGCGATGGGGAGCAGCTCAGTCTTATCATCATTCAATTTGAGCTTGTTAATGGTAATCCAGTGCTTAACTGATTCCACTGTCTTCTGTGTTATACTGACAAGCTGAGGGAACTGAGAGAGGATCACGGATTTATGAAGTTGGGTGTCGTCCGCGAACATGTGGTATTGCACGTCAAACTGCCTGATCTCTGCACCCAGGGACTGAATGTACATCGTGAAAAGCACCGGGTCTAGGACCGAGCCCTGGGGTACTCCGAATTCGATATTAGATTTCTTCGAGGTCAAGCCGTTTGAAATAACTGACTGGACCCGATTAGTCAAATATGATCGGAGCCAAGTCAGGACGGCATCAGTGACACCGAACGTTTTTTGCAGACGCTGGAGCAGTAGGCCGTGGTCAAGCGTATAGAAAGCTGCTGATAGATCGAGTAAAGACAAAATTCAAACCTTTTTCTGAATCTTCTTCTGCTCCGTACCTTCTGAAATTGGTCTAAATGTATCTTCTATATGGTACCATTTGGATAAATCTTCACCTTGAAAAGACATGGACCCATAACTTGGATGATCGTTCCGGGAGCCCATCGTGGTTTAGAGTCTGTTGCTGTTCCATATATTCTGATGTAACATGGATCTCCCCGGTTAAATGATCGACTAGGACTTCTTTTTGTCCCATTGCGGACAGCCATTTCTTTAAGATGTTGTCCCTGTGCTCGATGAGCAGGAGAGGGAACTAGAGTATCAATAAGTGTTCTTATTTGCCGATTGTTCAGCAGTTGGCTTGGTGATAGTCCACTAGCCAATGGTGTCCTGCGATACTGACGTAGAAAGTCTTGTAAAGATTCCTTTAAAGATAATGAGGATTTCTTTAGTGAACCCTTGAAACTTTGAATCAGTCGCTCGGCAGCTCCATTCGTAGCAGGATAATAGGGAGCGCCTGTGAGATGTACGATACCTCTCTCCTTACACCAATGCTGAAATTCTTCCGAGATGAAGCTAGTAGCATTTTCACTGACTATGGTGTGTGGATAGCCGAAATGAGCAAAATCTTCCCCCAGAAGATCAATGGTGGCTTTGGTTGATATAGATGTTTTCCTTGCGGATGCAAGGGTACTTTGAATATGCATCTATCACCACCAGCCAATGTGATCCCTTAAAGTTAATGGCATGATCAATATGCACTCGACTCCATGGTTTTTCTGGCAGCATCCATGGGTAGATACTTGCTTTGTTTCGGTCTCTGGCGTGTTCTGCACATGTTTGGCATGTTCGACCTATCTCCATGATTTGAGTATTAAGTCCAGGCCAATATACCGATGATCTTGCTAACTCTTTCATCCGCTCGATTCAAAAATGTCCTGTATGCAGGATTTGGAGAACTTGAGCTTGTTGTATTTTTGGTACTACAATTCTTGAACCATAAAATAGACAATTCGACTCCACAGAGAGAGAGTCTTGAATATTTTTAAAAGCTGCAATGTTAGCTGCATCCTTGTTCAAGTGTGCTTTCTTTGTAGAGGACGGCCAGCCCTCTTGACAATTTCTCATTACTGTAGACACAGTAGAATCTTTAAGTGACTCTTTAGCAAGGACTCCTGGGTCTGTTGGTCTGATCTGTAAACTGATTTGTTTGATCATACATACAGAATCCATGTCTGGTTCACTTTCTTCACCATCAAACATGTCATCAGGCCCTGAGGGTAGACGACTAAGAGCATCAGCATTGCAATGTTCAGTTGACTTATGGATTTGTTCACCAGCTGTAATCGATGAGTTTTGATTACGTAACGAATGTGATTTATCTTTGTTTGAAACATTGTATCTATTGAAATCTTGAGGTTCTTTATCGCAGTACTTCCCAACACATTTAAATAGTGGTTTTTCACTACTACAAATGACAGATTTGTAGTTATTTCCCCTGCCTCAGCCTTTATCTTCACAACTTCCAAAACATTAAGAAGGTCACTAGACGCTGTCTCGTACTTAACAGATACTGGGATCGATGTTGGTTGTCCAAGATTTTACCAAATATATTTAGACATAAAATTTTCTCCGGCTCCAGTGTCAATTTCGAATGCAAACCTCTTTCCTCCTAAAATGACTTCTTGAATAATGGATGGGATAGTTTTTACTTGGTTTTGCCTTCTTATTCTTTTGAGATCAATTGGTTTCTGTTTTGGAAATTCTGTTTCTTATTTAGACAAACTCTTTCCAGGTGTACTTTCTTGTGGCAAAATCGGCAGATTATGTCTTTATAATTGCAGACATTTCGTTTATGGATTCTACCTCCACACCTGCCACAAGTTCCAATCGAAAAATCCTGTATTTGAGATGGAGAAAATTTCTCTGCTGTCTGATGTTGCTTTTTTTTTTTGTCTGAACTTTATTGATAGGAGTTTCATCATGGACTGTTACTTTGGCACATTTCGCTGCCTCCTCTGATTCAACAGCTATTTCTACTGCCTTGTTAAATGACAGTTCAGTGTCCTTCATCCGAAATAAAATGTTCAATACAGCCTCGTTCTTTACAGAGCACATGAATCTTGTTCGTAAGACTTCATCAAGAGGATTTTTGATATTACTAAACTCACAAGTTGCTGCATCCTGTCTGATCCTAGCTGCCAATTATTTGATTGTTTCCCCCGGTTTTCTACTTGCATCAGACCAAAATGTGATTTTTTTCCCTGAACACAAATTTGGTAGGATCAAACTGATATTTGTTCCATGTTCAAATCATTTAAATTTAGTGGTGGTTCATTTTGTTGTACGAGGGTTGCCAACATTTTATGCAGCTCTGTTGTTTGGCTTGTTAAAAACATGTGTGCCTGCCTTTCCTTTGGCACATTATTTGCCAACACGAAGGTCACATATCTAGCGTAGTGGTCTGTGAAGGTTTCCTCGTTACTATTGAAATTTGTCAACTTCATATTAGTAGCCGCATGACCTATTGCTAGTTTCAACAGTAACTCATTCTGCTGAATCAGCCTTTGAATGATGTCCGCTTGGGTCAGATTTGACTCCACCATCGTGTGTTTACCTCTTCAGCCACGTGAAGTCACTGGGTTGTATCACTCTAACACTCGGTTGTACTGAGTTTTGTATTGAGTTAATACTGACCAGCATACTGTGTCGTTACTACTGGCCACCATTTGTTATATTTTCAATGTTTTTATCTCAAACAAGTAACATAAACAGAAGCCTATTAGAATAAAATCAATTATAATCAAATCACTTAGAATGAAACCAGTTAGAATGAATGAAACTAGTTAGAATGAATGAAATCAATTGAAATGAATCACTTAGAATAAAATAAATTAGAATAAAAACAATTAGAATACAATCAATTAGAATACAATCAGTTAGAATGAAACCATTTAGAATGAATGAAACTAATTGGAATGAATGACTTAGAATAAAATTAATTAGAATAAAAACAATTAGAATACAATCAATTAGAATACAATCAGTTAGAATGAAACCATTTAGAATGAATGAAACTAATTGGAATGAATGACTTAGAATAAAATTAATTAGAATAAAAACAATTAGAATACAATCAATTAGAATACAATCAATTGGAATAAAACCAATTAGAATGAAGCCTATTAGAATAAAACCAATATGAATAAAAACAATTTTCACAAATATTGTTTGATTGTTTGTTTGGTTTAGGTAAAAACGAGATGGGGATATTTTTTAATGCTATTATTGGTGAAAGTGAGAATGATATGGAGATCTGTTTAAATGTTTGTTTGGTGAAGGTTAGATTGACATCCATATCTGTTTTAATGTTTAAATCTAACTTTCCGTTTAAACAAGCTTCTGTCTTAACAAAATTTGTTTTGAAACACATTCTGTCTAATACTATTCCCTCTTCAACACTAGTTTTGTCAATTTTTTTTTTGTAGTCATTTCCATGACCACTCTAAGCAAAGATAGCAAAATAACAAGAAGAGTCAATGTATTTAATTTGTATTAAGTAATGCAGTCTAATTAACTTACCTGTGAATGTACACTTATTAATTGGTACAACATGACCTCGTAAATTCAGTTTTGGGGCTTCACAAATTGCATGCCTAAGTTTGTAATGGACCCTCTGAATTTACATTTGCGATTCCATTCATAGATTTGCGAATTTTTTTAAATCCTCGGTAACATATCATTTATATTTACGTCTTTATGTAATTTTTAATTAAAGGGATAACATTACTCTCTCAGTGCATTACATAAAATACTTATCCCCCCCCCCCTTTTTTTTTTTCGTTGATTTGTACCTTCTTTTTAAATAAAAATTTTTTTAAATCCTCGGTAATTTATCATTTATATTTTCGTTTTTATTTAATTTTTAATTAAAGGGATAACATTACTCTCTTAGTGCATTACATAAAATACTTATCCCCCCCCCCTTTTTTTTTTTCGTTGATTTGTACCTTCTTTTTAAATAACCTCTGTTACATATGAAGTTTACCTATGGTATATGTCTTCTGTGACATATGAAGTTTACCTTCATTATATATGATCTCTGCGACATACTAAATTTACATATTGTATATGATTTCTGTGAAATATTAAGTTAAATTGAGGTATATGACTTTGGTGGTGTATAAAGTTTACCTCATTATTTAAGACATATGTGACATATTAAGTTTACTTATGTATATGACTTCTCTGACATATAAAGTTTACCTTCATTACATTTGACTTCTGGGACATACTTAAATTTATCATCGGTAAATAACTTCTGTGACAAATGAAGAATACCTTCATTTTATTTGACTTATATGACATAATGTTTATTGACTTTATCTTCGTTCTGTATGAGTTCTGCGACATACCAATAATACCCTCATTATATATGACTTTTGTGATACAGTTTTTACCGTCTTTATATGACTTTTGTGACATATGATATTTAAGTAGTTTACCTTTCGTCCAACATGACTTCTGTTACAATGGACTTCCATTCATTCTAAATGAATTCTGGGACTTACAAAGCTTATTTCCTTAAATGACTTTTACGACATATGTAGCGTAAACATTCTATATGACATAAGTAATATATTAAGATTATATTCATTACATATCATTTCTGTGACATATGAAGTTTATTTCGTTATACGACTTCATAAAGTGACACATAAAGTATTCTTCGTTCTGTATGACTCTTATTACATATACATGTTCACTTCGTTATAGATCCCTCGTGGGACATATAATTTTTACCTTCCTTCTATATGTTAATATGACAAGTGGGACATAAATTTTATCTTCATTCTTTATAAATTATGGGACAAATAATTTTAACCTTCACTCTATATGACTCCTGCGACCTATTATGCTTAAATTCATTCTATATGACTCCTGTGACATATTATGCTTAAATTCATTCTATATGACTCTTTCTTCGCTATATATGACTCCTCGGACAAACACATTTTAACTTTGTTATAGCTGACTCCTGCAACATGTAAATTTTTCCTTCTTTCTATATGACTTCTGTAACATATAAAGTTTACTTTTGTTATATATGACTCCTGGGACATATAAAGTTTACCTTTGTTCTATATGGATTATGACATATAAAGTTTACCTAGTTCACATTAATCACAATGACATAAAAACGTCAGTCATTTAGTTTACATTCCCATTCGTTAATTTGTTTTAAACGTACTGTTAGTACATATGGAAACAAAAGCCAATTTATTACTATGCTGTAGGATTAACATAATTATATCGCACTGTGACTGAACTAGTGTAAGGGTAACATTAGTATACCATTTTGTGAATGAACTACTGTAGGGGTAACATTAGTTTACCGTACCGTGAATGAACTACTGTAAGGGTAACATTAGTATACCATTTTGTGAATGAACTACTGTAGGGGTAACATTAGTTTACCGTACCGTAAATGAACTACTGTAAAAGTAACAATTGTATATTGTATGTCGTCCATAAGAATGTCATACTATGAATGAACTAGTGTAGGGTTAACATTAGAATAACGTAATGTCAATGAACTAGTTTGGTAAAAAGCCGAAAGGAGATACTGTACCCTATTTTCATGTCAACAATTATTTTTTGTTCTATTTTTACGTTAACCATTTTGATGGTGACTATGTGGGTTATATATAAAGGTTAAAAATGCCTCGTTCTCGTATTGCTTTCAAACAGCTTAAGGTCAGGCCTTATTTATTATCTAGAAATAAGCATTTATTAGCATTTCTTTAATAAATCGTACACAGCACTCCCAGTTACTCGTGATACGCGACTATTTCTGGACTCTAAACTCGCTAATGTTTGGGGTATTACTGTATTTGAAATGGCAAAATGATTGCGTCACATTTACAAAACATTAAAATCAACTTTATTTTTTATTGGACTTTAATAATTACTTTTCAATTAAAATGAACTTAAGAAATCCATGTTATTTTATTTCCTAATATTAAATAATAAATTCACATAGTAGTGAGTAGGACCTAATATATCTGGGCCATAAAAGTTGTAATTAATTTTTATTTTTAAATCTATAAATACTACAAGAGAGTATGTTTTTTTCTCAATTTTATACTGTTCATGAAAAATTCTTATGAACAGTCTATGAATTTCTTAGATAAAAGACCCCGGTGACAACCAAACTCTAGATGTTGGTGAGCTAACACAGAAACTGAGAACGTCCGTAAATCAAGCCAGTAACCTTACTCCAAGAGATGTCCAAATGATTGTTCAGATTCTGGACGTGCTCTCCAAGACTTTGATGACGATCGGAACGTTCGAGGTAAATGTATCTTTATATCATAAGGTATGTCGAGTTTGAGAGTGGAAAATGAGATGTTCTTATAAAATTAAAATAATTAGATACAAAATATGAGACCTATATACTATAACATATTGTAACAAAATGAATTTTTATGACTGTTCCCCATAATTCTATTTGCTCAAAGTATACCTAAATTAAAGAATGAAAGTTAGGAGATTTTAAATTATAGCTCTGTCAGAAAGAAATAGTAAGAAATTTGATGAAAATACGAAGGAATCTTACTGGAATATTTGGGTAGAGGAATACGATTTCCTATTTGACCAGTAACCACCAGAGCTCTTCAGAAGAGTCAAAACCATGTAAGTCGGGGATGAATCCTTAGACACCACCTTTGTAAAAAATGATTAAAATTAGAATCCACTGTTTGATGAAGTTAAAGTCAATAAGAGACGGGTGTATTACTTACGACAGCTGTTCATTCCTGCTGGTAGGACTGTACTAAATAGCTTTAACACCAAGTGTACAAGGCAGACAGGAGCCAGGGCTCACAGAAGTAACAGCACACAGAAGCCAATATCCTTGATGAAGAATTTCGAAATGCAATAACATAAAATTAAAAAAAGAAGAAGAAATATGTAGATGAATAAAATGTAGAAGCCATCTTCCATGTGGACAGTCCGGCATCTAATGACTCACCATAATATTTCAAAAGTGTTGAAAGGAATAAGTGGCACAGAAGCCATCTTGCTTGTGGACAGTCTGGCATCTAATGGCTCACCATCTTATTTCAAAAGTGTTGAAAGGAAGAAGATGCACAGAGAACATAATATCAGAGACATCTTTCTCATCGAAAACTCTCCTGAAATATTTTCGGAAATCCTGGGAAAGTGAACACGATCTATAGTTCAATCACTTATGAGCAATCCCCAGTTTGGTTTTATAAAGCAAATATGGGGCACTGTATCAATCTACATCCTCCGGCAATTGTGAATGAATGACTGCATCGTCTGGTTTAGTTCGACCAGGAAAAAAACTATGGCCAGCGTGAACAGACATAAGCTCTGTAAAAGGCTGCAGTCATGCAGAGGAAAATTGACATCTTACATACTCTATACTATCATGGGGCTCTATACCATTAGGGGGCTCCATGTTATCAACGGAGCTCGATACTAGCAGGAACTCTATGCCATCAGCAGACCCTATACTACCTGAAGGCTCCATATCTTCAGAAGGCTCTATACTATTGGGGAGCTCTATACTATCAGGGGGCTCTATACTATCAGGAGGCTCTATATTATCAGGGGGCTATATACTATCATGGGACGCTATTCTTTAGGAGGCTCTATACTATAAAGGGGTTCTATATTATCAGGGGGTTATATACTATCAGGAGACTCTATACTGTCAATGGGCTCCATATTACCAGGGGGCTCTATACTATCATGGGGCTCTATACCATCAGAGGCTCAATAATATCAATGGGCTCTAAACCATGTGGGGGCTCTATAACACGAGGTCGTTCTAAAGCTTCAAGGCCCTCCTTAATATCAGATCGCTTTTTACCAAAATGAACCTATATATAATAATAGTAGAGCTCTGTATCAGCAGTTTGCTCTATACCATCAGAAAACTCTAAACCATAATAGCACTCTATGCCATCAGAGCGCTCTACACCTACGGTTTTTCTCCAACATTTCTCCACTGATTTATGATGACCCAGCATCTCTGGACATCTGGTATACAGGCTACATTATCTGTTGGACATCTGAAAGAGAGGCTGCTGTAGCTGCTGAACATCTGGAATACATACTAATTTATTACTTGCCATATGACAGACCGTCTGCTTTAGACGCAGGACATCTGGCAGTCAGGCTACATTAGCTGTTGGACATCTGAAAGAAAGGCTGCTGCAGTTGCTGGACTTCTGACAGACATACAAAGTTAGTCATTGGACATCTGGCAGTCAGGCTACATTAGCTGTTGGACATCTGAAAGAAATACTATAAATGCTGGACATGTGGCAGGCATAGTGATTTGCATTGGTATTTTTGTAATTATCGATTATATTAATTTTTTTTAAAATTGTTATTCATAAAAATCTTACATGACATTAAGCTAGATATGAGTAAAAGAATGTTAAAATCCTTTATATTAACTTCGCTTTTGTATGTGGATGACGAAATCTTCGAACCGCTAATTGAATCAAATACCTTCTACCTATCGAGGTGAAATTTTCCACATAGACTCGTTGCCGATGACAAGACTTTCTGTCAAATATTCCGCCCCACTCCATGCCCCCTGTTTTTCAAGGGAAAGAAAAAGACAATAAAATGTCTCTGAAATTACGAAATGAGATTGCTTTTTTTTTTTAAATATCGCAAGTGCGTTTGGTGCGTAATATGTTATAGTATTATGAAAACTTTAGTAAAATAACTTTGAGGTGTAAAAGTGGGTATTTTATCAGAAGATTAATGTTGTTCAGGAGCGTTGAAGGAAAACTGTGTGTTTGCTAGCCTTTTTGGAAAGGGGACTAACTGTGATTTTTATAAAAATAAAATCCTTTCTTATGTGAATGCTTTGTCAAATTTCCAGCATCACCCCCATTGCTCGATATAACAAAAAATGTTTTGAGATGATGCTCACAAATATGTTGTTTACAATTCGCAGCAAATAATTTATCTTATGGAAAAAAATAAGTATGTGCCCTAAAGACCATATATATATATATATATATATATATATATTTATATATATATATATATATATATATATATTTATATTTTTTTTATATATATTTTTTTGTGAAATATTTTTATTTTTCTATTTTTCTTTTAAAATGTTGTATTTTATTTGTGTAT